GGACTGTCCTCCCCCAGGGCCTACCCCAGCCAGACCCCCAAACACATCACGGTTTTGTTTCCATGCCACCAATTTTAAATTCCCATACCACATCTGTCTCCCCACTATCAGCTCCCTGAAGGCAGAGACCGTCTGTCCTCATGCTGTACGCTTAGCACGGAGGACGGGGTCCGGCACCACAGAAATGCTCAGGAGGTGTTGAACGACCCAGTGACGGTTTTCTCTTCTCCCTGTCCTAGGTCAGCGGAGCGTGTCCTCTCCCTGCCTCCAGGGGCTGACCTACCCCCTTTGTCCTGGCAGAGAACCTAGACAGGGCAGAGTAGCCGGGATCGCCTGACCAGCCCTCAGAACCTGGATGAGCCACGGTGCCCGCTGCGGGGCAGACATCCCCTCCCTTCCTAGCCCTGCTCTTGGCAACAAGCTGGGCAGTGCCAGGGGTCCCTGCCACCACAGCCTCCCAGAGGACATTTAGGGTAAGACAAGGAAGCAGCAGTCCTGGGGCTGACACGTTGTTTCAGCCGCAGATCCTCCAGGAAGCCCTCCCTGCTCAGCCCCATCCGGGCTCCTGCAGCCCTGAGCTGCAGCGGGCAGAGCGGCAGGGGCCGTCCCTTAGTGCCGCTTCTGACTTGGAGCCCGAACCAGCCCTGCTGCTGCTGTGAGCGTCCCCAGAGGTTTCGCGGAAGGAAGGTGTATCTTCGGCCAGGGGACATCTGGTAGGGCAACAGCCTCGGAACTCAGCAGAGTCATCATTTTATAGATGAGAAAACCGAGGCTTGGAGAAATTAAGGCATTTGCCTTAGGTCACAGCCAGGAAGTTGTTTGCCTCCTGCTGGAAGTCACACCGCCACCCTCACCCTGCATTTCGGTGCTGACGCCATCAGAACTGCTCAGTTAATAATCATGACAAGGACGACTGACAATCAATAGCAGCTAGCACTGTCCTCCCCACCCCACAGCCAGGCCTGTACTTGGAGTGGTTTTTTAATTTTTTTTTCTTTATTCATGTTAGAGAGAGAGGAAGGGAGAGGGAGAGATGGAAACATCCATGAGAGAGAACATCGATTGGCCACCTCCTATATGCCCCCCGTTGGGGATCAGGCCCACAACCAGGGAATGTGCCCTGACCTGGAATCGAACCAGTGACCTCTTGGTGCATGGGTTGATGCCTAACCACTGCGCCACACCAGCCAGGACTTGGTGTTTTATGCAGAGTGGATAAAAGGATGATTCCCATTTTAACATGGGCGAACTGAGGCACAGAGAAGCAACTCACTCAAGCCCCCATAATTAATTCGGGTGGAAATCACCACCCAGATCCAGCTGCGATCCAAGTTTAAAATCCTTCCTGGTCTCACTCTGTGGTCAAAACCACCCCAGAGGCTGTTTCCTCTCAACCCTACCGTTCTGGGGCCTCAGAACCCTAAAGAATAGAGGTAAGCCTGCCCCCAACACGCTGGGTGAACATAGATTCGAACCTCACTTTGGCCTCCCTGGCTTACTCTTCTCCCCTGTTCAAAGCCAGGGGACACTCCCTAGGACAACTGGGCAGGTGGACAGGTTCTCCCAGGCCAAGCCCACCTGAGGTCAGACACAGAATTGCGAGGCCAGCCTCCCCTACCTTGCTGTGTGACCAGACACTCTTTGTCCTTGCTTCTTCCTCTGTCAAACAGAAGTTTCCATGAAACCCATTCTGTTCCCCTCCCTCCCAACTGCCACGTGGTAAGTTTGTAACGGGCAAAGCGGGCTCTTGGGTGGGGGCAGGAGCATTTTGTTTTAACAGATGGCTCTGGTAACCCAAAAAGTGCTGAGAGCCCAAAGCAGTGCTGACGGTGGGCTTTGTGGCAGAAGAGACATGGCAGACGGAGAGGCTTCCGAGTCCAGGGCGGGCTGCGTGCCAGCCGGGCACTTCACAAGTGCCAATCAGCAGATCAGTTTCCCCCAAGGGCCCCATGATCTTGGTGTTATAGCCCATTTTAGAGAAGGAAGCTGGGGTTCAGGAAACTGTCTCTCTGAGCTTTGTAGCTGATAAGTGTCAAGGTGGGATCCCACTCCAGTAGATCTGAAGTCTAAGGTCACCCTAATTCTAACTCCTGCCCCAGAGTGGGGTGGCAGGTTAACAAAGCAGTTTCAGGTAGATCTGGGTTCAAGTGTGGCTCCTCTGCTTTATAACTGTGTGACTTTGGCAAGTTCCTTCTCCTCTCTGAGCCTCAGTTTCCTCACATATAAATGAGAATAAGAGGACCTACCTCAGGAGGGCAGTTGTGAGCGTTAAATGAGTTAATACATGCAAATATGCAAATGAGAACAGTGCCCGATTTGGAGTCAACATTCAAATAAGAAAAAGGTACGTTAGAAATTTAGCCCCAATTCCCCTGTCTCAACAAGAAAAGAAAACTGCTGTTCCAACTTGGCCTGCCTGCTCAGCCCTGATTTTGCGTAGCCTTGGGCAAGTCACTTCACCTCTTCAGCCCTCAGCCTCATCTATCAGTGGGGATGAAGACATGTGCCTCGGTGGCCGAGGGGCTGCAGCGGCCCAGGATGGACAAGCTGCAGAAGGTGCCGAGCACGCCGGACCCTGGGACCGGGCAGCCTGGCTGTGGTGGTTGAGACACCTTCATTAAGCTGGAATACCAGAATACAAGGCTTCATATTGTCTTGTGAAAAGAATTCTCTGCTCACTGCTGGGTACTCTGCTGCTCTGGGTGCAGAGGAAGGGGCTGGACGTCTTTGCCGTCTGCCCACCTTTGGTAACATCCCATCCATGGGGAGCCCCGCCTTCCTCATGGGACCAATAGACAGCTGGAGAGAACGTTCCAGCCCACGCATTTGATATAACTATCACGGTGCTGTTGGTGCTACTGAGTTTTGCGCTCACCCTGTGTTCTGCCTTTGGGTCGCATAACAAGGAGCTTGCCCTCATTCTCTGCATTTTGCAAGCTTTGGCCCTGCGGTAGCCTTTCCTTCCTACCATTTGCAAGGGACGCTGTGAAGAAGTGTTTTCCTGCGTGTCTTGCAGAACACGCAGCCAGTTTCACAAAGCTTTGGGAGGCACTGTGGACGGACACCTCACCCTCTTGCTCACAGACATGGTCCTTTCCTCTTACCGTAATGGGTTCACGCGACCCATTAACACAAGAGGAGGGGCGGGGTCTGTACCTTCCAGAGAGGACTCTTCCTCATCACCCCTTTCCTCTTTGGGTGTTGTTCTCCTGAATTCTCAGAAATAAAAACCACATCAAGCAGCAAAAAAAGAGAAAACATCTGCCTTGTCAAGTTGTCCTGAGGATTCTGTGAGATAAATCATGGAAGGTACCCGACATCCACAAATATTCAAATGACAGCAGTTATTTTTAAATTAAGTTAAAATACCAGGCATGTGAGCAGCATTGTCCTCCCTGACAAAGAACTCCAAGTGCCATGGCTTTTTCTAGCCTTGCTCCCATGGAAATAGATAAGGGCCACCCCTCCATCCCCTTTGTACCTCTTCCAGTGTCCAACAGGTGTTCAGGAAGCATCTGTTGGAATGACATAGTCAAACCAGGCAGGCAGCTGCCTAGGGTCTTGCTACCTCAAGTGTGGTCCATGGACCAGCCGAATTAGCATCACCTGGGAGCTAACCGGAAGCATAGCATCTCAGGCCCCACCCTAGACCCCCTGGTTCAGAGTCTGTTAACAAACGTTAGGTGAGTTGAGTACATATTCAAGCTTGGAAAGCTCTGCTCTGGCTTCTTGAAACTGGCCTCACCTGGAGGTAGGCATGAGCAGCCAGAGAGGCCTGCCCCTGGGGCACTGGCACCTCCACCCCCAAAGGCTTCTGCAGAGGCAGGTCAGGAAAGCTGGTTAGGGCACAGGACTGTGAAGCCAGTACCCTGGACTCTAACCCTAGCTTGGCTGCTGTGACCTTCTTAATCTAGTTCATCTCTGTGCCTCTATTTATTCATCTATAAAACAGGATGACATCAGCTACCTCACAGAGTCACAGTCAGAATGAAATGAATTAATGCAGGTAATGAAATGGCACGAGCTACCTCGCAGAGCCACAGTCAGAGTGAAATTAATTACTGCAGGTAACACGTGCAGAAAGGTGTCTGGCACAGGGCAGTAACACTCAGTAAGCACAAGCTGCTCATACTAGTAGTTAATTATCTCCTCCATTCCTCTGTGCACACTTAGGAGTCTCACCAACACTTGTGACATCTGCCATCATCACTTACACCTGTTTCTCAGATGGAGCGGTTGAGGCTGACTGAAACTCACACCTTCTCCAGTGGACTCAAATCCCACCAGCTGCAGATTCACTCGGCTGGGCGGACTTTTGGGTGGTTCCCCTGCCTGGATGAATCTCCGCTCTGAATCACACCAAGTGGGCCTGGACGCTCCTTGACCCCACCATTCCCAAGACACCACAGCTGGCGGGAGGAGGGATGAGAGTCCTCCCTTGGGGCCAGTGGCCCGCTGAATCTTACCAGAGCCCAAGGCCTAAGGCCCCCCAAACCCTCTGCCCCTATCTCTGGCATGGCTCATGGTTCTTCCCACCAGCACATCCACAAAGGGACTCGTTGGTGTGGACAAAACAGTCACGGTGTTCGAGTCTAAAGCTGTTTACATTAACAGAGCGCCCAGTACGCACCGTACCCAACTCTAGATGCTTATCGTTGTAGACACGGCGCCCCAGGCCCCACTTTACCGCTGAGTTTCAGAGAGATCAAGCCCTCTGCCCAGGCTCACAAGCTGCTCGGCGCCTGCGGTGCTAAAATGTCCATTAGACAGAGGGTGAAACTGAGACCCAGAGGGGCCAAGTTAGCGTCAGAAGCAGAACTCGGAGGCCAGCCAGGGGCGCCTCCAGATTCATTCCCTCACTAAACAGCCTAGAGGCGGACAAGGGCCTCAGCGGAGGGAAGAAAGCGCCTGCAGGGGCCCGTTCGCTCCCGTGGTGTGGAAGCCCCTAAGCCCTCCAACCAGACTAGGAGCCAGAACCCGGACCCCGAGCCCCGGCTCACTTTGGGCATGTTGAAGGCGGGTGTCTGGGTCATGGTGCCAAGCGCGCGCCCCGGCGCTGCTGCCTCCTCCGCTGAATCCCGGTGGCCTACGGCTGATTGAGACCGGTCGGTTTCCCCCGGGCCCCGCAGTAACCGCGGCCCGCCTCTCCCTTCTTAACCGGGCCGGCTCCGCCCCGCCCCGCCCCCTGCTCGCCCCATCCCGCTCCAGGCCCCGCCCCACCCCGCTCCAGGCCCCGCCCCACCGTCCCTAGTCGCTCTTTTCCTGGAATTCAGCAGTGGGAACAAACACAAGTTCCCTCAGCGCCTTAACCCGCCCAAAAATTGGCCCTGGGACTTGGGGTGGCAGCCACCTGTGGGCTCAGGCTCCTGCCGCCGGGCCGTCTCTGTGGCCTGGGCGCTTACAGTGTGCCAGGCCCGAGCTGGAATCTGGGAACCTGTGAGCATCACAGACTTTGTGAGACTTGCTGTCTACCAGGGCTAGACCAACGCTCATCACATCATCGCGCTCGTCACATAATTGCACAACGTACATGTGTAATTAGGAAGTTTTCATGGGGACCCACTGTGGCCTGCAGGTCGGGAGGCTTGTCTGAGGACCTGAAGGAATGTGCCAAGTGAGAGGAGAGGAGAGGAAAGGGCACGCGGAGTGTTCACACGCTGGCAATGCAAAAATACTGCAAACACTCCGACGTCCATCCACAGGCAGGTGGGCAAATCAACTGTGAAGTGTGTGGGTTCTTGACTTCATGCCTGAGAATGTTCACAGCACCTGTCCCGGCGATTTGTGTAAGGAGGTGGAAGGTGGCGGTGCAGGGTCTCCCGAAGTGCAGGTGTATTGGGAATCAGGCTGCTGGGCGACCTCTAAGGAGAGAGTAGCAAGCAGCTTGTACAGACTAGGGATTTTTAAATTTAGCGCTGGGGGGGTAGGGGAGGGAGAGTTCCTTCAGCCGAGGAGACGTGGTCGTCTTTGATTGGACGGTCCTGGGGTCTCCTGAAACTTGTTTTTCTTGTGGAGCAACTGTTTGCAGTTTGGGGTGGGTTAGGTAGTTCCATCATTCCGTTCCTCCTGACTGGAGTGATGGGTTTTCGTTTTCTGGAATGAGAGTTTTAGGGCAGTAATATGGAAGTTAAGAGCTGACGATTTGGAGAGTTCTTTTATTAAAGCTGGGGTCAGTGAAGCAAAGGGGGGCTTAGAGTGGACAAAGCAACAGGAGAGAAGCTAGGCCGTGCTCTGCGGGGCTCCCTGGAAACATGTACGAAAGAAGCAGGCCCCCCTGGGCTGTGTGAATTTGCTGAGAAGTAAAAGTCACAGAGATAGATGTGAGCCGGGGAAGGGCTGCTCTTGGCTCATCTAAAGTCAGAGAAAAGGGGGCCTTGGGCACGGGTTCGGGGGTTAGCCCATATGAGCTGCTGCTGCCCATTGCCCCCTGGCTGGGAGTCTCATGGGGACCCTCAGAGGAGAGAAAAGGTGCAGGCCTGGAAGGGAAGAGAGGCGTGGGTCTTGTCTTGAGGGTTCTTGTCTGTTTTCTAAAGGCAGAGCTTCAGGGGAGGATCTCAATAGAATAGTTATCAACTTTATGCTGATGTGCCAAAATGGGATTTATTCCCGACTTCATCTGTCATTGGGTGTGGTTGGCACAACTGTCGCTAATTGGATTTTCGTGACCTATCTCCCTGACTGGAGTGATTTAAGCTCTTTACCCTTTGGTTGGGGAGAAGTGCAAACCATTTACTCTTAAATGTCCTTGGTTAGGGAAGATAAGATTTTAAGACTTACTAGATGGCTGTAAACTGCTTGGCTGTTTAACTGTCTGTCTCAGTTTCCCTATTCCACTTGTCCTGGCTTACTAGCCTGTCTCAGCTGCAGTGAGGGGGGGCATTGCAGAGGGGCCAGAGCAAGTCTGGAGACCAGGAAGGAGGCAACTGCAGTAGCCCCAGGGAGATGCTGGGGACGGTGGGGGACGGTGGGGGAAGATGGGGAAAATCTGATTCAAGCTACATTTAGGGGCAAAATCAGCTGAACGTGGGGTGGAGGGTGTGTGGCAGTGAGGCAGAGAGCCGGTCAAAATGATTCTTCGGATGCATTGTGGAAACCACACGCGTGGTTTTGTAAGACCCTCTCCTGGCTCTCTGGGCCACTCAGGATAAATCATAGCAGCTCTACTTTTCGGGACATACTTGGAGCAGGTACTCTGAGAAGCGCTTTAAAAGCACCGTCTCATTTAATGTTTACAGAGATACTGCAAAGTAGGAAGTGATCTCCTCGCTTTACAGGTGAGAACACTAAGGCCCAGAGAAAGAACAGCCTGCTTGGCACATGTGTTGTGAGTGGCGGAGCTGGGACTTTAACTTGAACCTGACCCCAAAACCTTCACTCTCTACCTTATTATTGCCTCCGCAGCTCCTCTCCAACATCGGTCCCATCACTTGCTAGTCCTCAAACACTAGCCAACCTGGATGACTTGCTGGTCATTAAAGGTGGCACATGTTCTTGGCAAATCCTCCCACTGTGTGATGGAGTCTAAATTCCTCCTTTGTATCTGGGCTGGACTGAGTAACCCATTTGCCTGATAGGATGTGGTGAAGGTGACATTCCTGGACTTTGAGTCCAGGTCATAAGAAGCCTTGGGGCTTCCACGGGGGCCTCTCGCACATTCGCTCTGGGAAGCCTGAGTCGCAACGTAGGAAATCCACACCGGAGAACCCGCGTGCAGGCCCCTCCACTCGGCTGTCCAGCTGAGGGCAGCCTTTGCACCACGCCCACCGAGAGACCAGACACATTAGTGAAGCCATGTTGGAGCAGAACCTCTGCTAACTGAACATGTGACATATGCCATATGGAAAGAAGAATGACTCAACTGACCCCACTCGCATTTGTGACCTGCAGGTATATAATGAATGGTTGTTAATTGAGGTCATTAAGTGTTGGGACAGGTTGTTACGCAGCAGTAGATAACAGGAATATTGGTTCCTACCCGCCCCATTCACCTCCACCCCAAATTACTTTTGTTTGTTCAAATTTCCTGAAACTTCGGTGGGTACAGAAACCACAAACTGATCAACAGAGAAAAGAGGGACAGAAATAACTGGAATCTTGGGGCCAGTTCCCCTTCCTCCACAGGTTTCTTCTTCTCCCAACAGCTTGGTCCAAAGCCTGCTGGGAATTTGCTACTAAGATGTGCCCAGGCAGGGACCCTGACCCCACACGCATTTGGATCAGGCCTTCACAGACCCTCAGCTAGAAGCACTTGAAGGCAGAAAAACAAGGTGGAAACACAGAAAAACCCCAAATCCCAGATAGGGCGATGATGAGGAGAGATACCCAGCAAGGGGGCCTCAGTAGCCTGCCTGATCCTGGCAGTAGAGGGGGGTACTCCAGGGCCTTCCCTGGGCTTGGGCAGTCACCAGTTGACCCTAGAGCCCCGTCAGCCACTGGGTCTTGTGGGCAGTACTTGGGGTCATATATCTGTCAGTCCAGGCCAAAGACCTGGCCACTCTGGTTGGCACCCTCCATGTAGCACACCTGCAGAGACTTGGAGGAGTTGTCACACTTGTTGGTCCCCAGTTTGGTGTCATAAATGTTCCCGTGGATCCTGGGAGCCATCATGCCCACCTGGCTGGCACACTTGTTGGTACCCATTTGCAGGCTGATGGTTGAGTGGTCCATGGGTGGCAGGACATGGTTCTTGGGGTCATACAGATGCCTTCTTGTGCCATATGCTGTCATGCCTGACTGTCTGGCATACATATTGGTGCCCTTCTGGAGCCCAGTGACTCCGTGGCCCGCCTTCATGGTGGCGTCATCAAAGTTCCACTCCTGCTTCTCCAAGTACTTGATGCCAAGGTCCACGCCACCCTGCAGCCCCTTTGTCTTGGCCTTCCCTGCCCCGGTCAGGAGCAAACCACTAGAGAGTATCATGTTCCCATCTCAAACAGGTCCGCAGAGTGCATGCCATAGCTGCCCATGGCCTTGATGAAATTTGAGAGGTCTTGTCAATGGTGCCAGTTTTGCATGGAGCAGTTGGTCTTGGGGACCGCGCCGGGACCCTCTGGAAGTCAGGACAAATAGGCCCGTGAGTCTCTCTCCATCCAGCTGCAGAGCCCCGCCTCCTTCTGAGGGCTATATTTGGACAGGAGCCAGTTCTTGACTCGGCAGAAAGCCCCTCTGAGGGCCCTTGTTGAACTGCGTGGAACTCAACTACAGTGTGATGATCTGATACGTGTCTACAGTGTGAAAGGATTCCCCAGGGTTCATTAACATACCCATCACCTCACATATTTACGTCTTTTTTTTTTTAGTGAAAACATTTCAGTTCTACTCCTTTAGCAAATTTTAGTTATACAGTAGTGTTATCAACCAATGATAGTCACCATGTGATACTTGAGATCCTCAGATCTTATTCATTTGATAACTACAAATAATTCCTTTATTCAATTCTCCTTAATTACTCAGAGCGTGTCGTGTCCCTGGTTCCCACCAGGACCCTGGGTGACACAGGCTGGTCTTGAACTTCTCCACGTCAGTACATAGTAGACCAATGTCTACAGAGTTGGAGGAGGATCGGAGAGAGATGCTTTTCCCCAAAAATGCATCAACCACACAGCATTTCACATGTAAGACGAGAGAGATACATTCTCAAACACGTAGGAACTCTAACTCTCACACATCCTTCCTGAAAAAATCTAAAGTCATCATCTCCGTGTGTTGGAGAGGCATGTGACCTTGTCTAACCCCACCAGTCAGGTAGATGGTCTTCGAAGGTAAGATAGGTTCAAATTCTCCCGGGTCTCTAGTCCTGGTGGAGAGCAGGAGCTTGTTATGTTGGTGGGATGGAGGAATATAATGGAGCAGTTTGGGTCATTGTTCCCAAGCCCCTGAGGTATATGGGAAGCCCTCACCTCAGCATGATTTGTATTCAGTCCTCTGCAGGGCTCAGGCTACCTTGGGTTAAGGGAGGGCAAGTCAATGCCTAAGAAAAAGAATTTCAAGACATAGACAAATTGCCCTGGCCGGTTTGGCTCAGTGGTTAGAGCGTCGGCCTGCGGTCCCGAGAGACCCAGGTTTGGTTCCCGCTAAGGGCACGTACTTCGGTTGCAGTTTTCCCCCGGCCTTGGTTGGTCATGCGGGTGGCAGCCACTCGAT